AAAAAAAAAAAAAGCTTTTGTATGTAAATGGATGGAGACTTAAGCAAGCATATGGTGACAGCCAATCTGGCCATCTTCAAAAACTAGTTTAAAAAGACATTGCCTATGCACCTTCCATTACTGATTTATTTCATGGAGTGGAGAGTAGGAACTGAGCCACAAATGAGAAATTTATTAGGAAACAAGGAACAATGTATTAACTACTCTGTGCTGAGTAAATTTAAGTATGTATGGGCAGTATTGAGGTTTAGAAATGTCTATAATCTCTAATATAAGATGCATTGCTAAGCCGGGCACCGGTGGCTCACACCTGTAATCCTAGCTACTTAGGAGGCTGAGATCTGAGGGTTGTGGTTCAAAGCCAGCCCAGGCAAGAAAGTCTGTCAGACTCTTAGCACCAATAAACCACCAGAAAACCGCAAGTGGCACTGTGGCTTAAGTGGTAGAGTGCTAGCCTTGAGCTGAATTGCTCAGGGACAGTACCTGGGCCCAGAGTTCAAGCCCCACAACCGAGCTTCCCTTCCCCCACTCCCAAAAAAAGAGAATGTATTTGGGTTACAAATGCTGTTGGGGAATAGTCAGTTGTGGGGCTTGAATTTAGGTCCTAGGCAGCGTCCCTGAGCTCTATTTGCTGAAGACTAGTTTTCTACCACTTTGAGCCACTCCACTTATGAGTGGTTAGTTGGAGATGAGAGTCTCACAGGGACTTTTTTGTCCCTGCTGGCTTTGAACCTTGATCCTCAGATCTCAGCCTCCCAAGTGGCTAGGATTATAGGTGTGAGCCACCAATGCCTAGCTGATTTTTTTTTTTAATAGATGATTCAAGGATAGTGAGTTGCAAATGGCTTTCTGTATCTTTTCTCCTTTCTAGGCCATGGAAAGAGCAAATGGAATGGAGCTGGATGGAAGAAGAATTCGTGTGGATTATTCTATCACCAAGAGAGCGCATACACCTACACCAGGCATCTACATGGGCAGACCAACTCAGTAAGATTTCAGATTTAATATGCCTGGGGTTAGTGGTACAGTGCTTACCTAGTAAGTATAAAGACTTTGTTCCAGCCCCAGCATTGTTCTTAAGCTAAACAAACTATAAGCCAAAAACCAATCTACCAGGAATGTGTGTAAAACCAAATAATCAGAAGATGATTTTTTCTGTAAGACTTAAAACTTAATTAAATTATATATATAATTATATATTACTTGTTAACATATATAGTATATATATATATATATATATATATATATATATATATATATATATATATATATATTCATTCTTTGGATTGTTCTATTTATTTTCCTGGTATTTGAACTTGACGTCTTGCACTTGCTAGGCAACTCTTGTCACATGAGCCATGCTTTCTTACCTGGTTTGTTTGAGCCACGGCTCCACTTCTAGCTTTTTTGGTAGTTAACTGGAGATAAGTTTCATGGATTTTCCTGCCCAGGCTGGCTACCAACCATGATCCTCACATCTCAGCAGCAGGAACCATTTTTTGTTTTTTGAATTGTTAGTGTTGACACTGAGCAAAATATAAGTAGGGGCTTGAAGTGTTTTCAGATACATAACCAAATACAGTGACAAGTATTTGTGAATAAAAAAAAGGAATAAATACTTTCAGATAGTTGAAGCCATTTTGGAGAAAATGAGTTTAAATGAGAGCCTTCAGAAAACTAAAGTAGAAGTGGTATCCTTATGGTTAGGTAAATACACCAATGAAGGCTGTTTTGTTTTGTTTTTTGGTCCGTGGGGCTTGAACTCTGGGCCTGGGCGATGTCCCTGCGCTCTTCAGCTCAAGGCAAGCAGTCTACCTCTTGAGCCACAGCGCCACTTCCGGTTTTCTACTGGTTTATTGGAGATAAGAGTCTCACAAACTTTTCTTGCCTGGGCTGGCTTTGAACTGTGATCCTTAGATCTCAGCCTCCTGAGTAGTTAGGATTACAGGCATGAGCCTTTTTTTAATTCAGCCAGGTACCTGGTGGCTCACCTGTAATCCTAACTACTTAGGAGGCTAAGATCTAAGGGTTATGGTTCAAAGCCAGCCTGGGTAGAAAAGTTCATGAGACTCTTTAACTCCAGTTTAGCCACAAAAGGTCAAGAGTGGAGCTGTGGCTTAAGTGGTAGAACGTTAGACTTGTGTACAAAAGTTTAAGGACAGCACCCCTTCCCTGAGTTCAAGCCCAGGGCCAGTCCACACACAAGGTTTTAAATTCAGAAGTTTAAATATCAAATCTTGGTGTTTTAGTGCTGAACTGCAATGTAAGGTAGATTAATTGTCTTTAATGTTTAGAGTTAGGTTCTTTCTATTATTAACATTTAATTGCCTTTCAGTTATTCATAAACATAATTTTACACATTTTTGTTCTATTCCCTAACACTGTTTTAGTTCACCTGGTGATTTGAGTAGTACATTAATACAGGAGAGAAGCTTACAGAATCTGGAGGATTTTGTAAAATCATGTAGTGAATGAAACATGAAAACATACCAGGTACAGATGGCTTAAACCTGTAATCCTAGCCACTTAGGAGGCTGAGATCTGAGGATTGTGGATCTAAGCCAGCCTGGGCAGAAAAGTCCATAAGACTGTTATCTCCAGTTAATCACCAAAAAAACCTTAAGTGAACTGTGGCCCAAGTGGTAGAATGTTAGCTTCAGTAACAAAGCTCAGGGACAGTGCTCAGCCCTGAGTTCAAGCCCTAGAACCTGCACACAGGCACACGCAGACTGAAAACTAAAAAAGTACCATAGAAGTCTTTTTCTATTTTAAGTTGAGTAATCCTGGAAATTAATCATTTATACTGCTATATAACTTTACTATTTTTTTTCTGTAGTAGTGGTGGTGGAGGTGGTGGTGGAGGCGGCGGTGGAGGTGGCGGTGGTGGCAGACGTCGAGATTCTTACTACGATAGAGGATATGATCGAGGGTATGACAGATATGAAGATTATGATTATCGGTACAGGTAATTTTATTTTGTTTTATATTTCTGTTCTGAATTAGGTGGTGGCAGTATTATTTGACACTTTTATATTTAGCCAAATCGTGGTGGACAACAGTATTCCCAGCTAGGGAGCTGAAATGAAGAATCACTTGAGCTTAGTGGTCAACATACCCCGTCTTCTAAAAAGAAAAATAAAGCCAGGCACTGGTGGCTCAATGTGATAATTGTGGTTCAAAGCCAGCCTAGACAGGAAAGTCCATGAGACTCATATCCAGTTAACCACCAGAAAAACAGAAGTGGTGCTGTGGCTCAAGTGGTAGAGCACTTGCTTTAAGCTGAAGAGCTGAGGGACAGCATCCAGGCCAAGAGTTCAAGCCCCCCAGGACCAACAACAACAAAACAAAACCTTGATGTTTAAGTTAATAGGGCTGAGAGTGTTATTCAGTGGTAGGACATTGCCTCACATTTACTAGACCCTGGGTTCAGTCCCTAGCCCTTCCAAAAGAAAGGTATGTAATGTTTTCAGAATAGAGCTTACCTCTGCATTTGAGTGTAAGGAATTCTTTTTCATCTGCTTCAGTGGGGTGATATTTTATGCTGAACAATCTTCTGTTTCTTACAGAAGAAGATCACCTTCTCCTTATTATAGTCGATACAGATCCCGATCAAGATCTCGTTCTTACAGCCCAAGTAAGTGAATTTTGCTTTTGGAGGATTAAGATCTTGTTTCTTAAGGATCATTGGCATATGCGTATAATCTTAGCACTGGGAGGCAGCCTGTGATTTTGAAGTTTAGCAGAAAAAAATGAAACAAAAAAGCACAGTAACAATAATTTCTAATGTCTTAATTTAGGCTATGAGGGGAGGATGTGTGATGGCTGTGAAATGGGTGGGAAAGTAGTAGGTAAGTCAAATGGTAATTGTCATTCTAACTTTTGTTTTTCTTTCCCTTCTAGGACGCTATTGATCATGGAACGATTGCAATTAAGGATGTTATTCTCTTTTTCTCTGTTTTTTGTTATTTGTTTTGCTTTTCTTTTTAATCCTGGGTTTCCTCTAGCTTCTAATCTTTCCTAATCCTTAAAAAAATTTCTTGGTTTACTGGCATCTACATACACTTTGTCAGTTGTGTTGTCCACCACTTCTGTTATACTCTTAAAAATGTAATTGTCATTTTGAATAGTTCAAACATCTTGAGTAAAAAAGGAACCCAGTATTCATGCTTTGTGATTTTTCTTTATCTTTATGGAGGATTAACTCCTAGCTAATCATATGGGGAAAGAAATGACTTTTGTGTCAGATATTGTAGTAGGCGTTATAATAGAAATCTGTATTTTCAACAGACTTTTTTAACTTTCTTCTGAGGAAGTTAATAACACATGAAGTAGTTGTCACGTCAGGTTTGTCTGGGATGGCATGGAATAGTCAAATACTTGAGTGTAGAAAATTTGAAGCTATAGAGGGAAAAACTTGGACATTTCTTTTGAAGAATGTAAATTTTGAACCCAAAAAATTAGACAAAAAGCTTGTAGACTCCACACATGTTGTATTTGAAATATATCTGTTAAGACTTACAACTTAATGTGTGATTTTTTTTTTTTTTGGTGTGTGTGTGTGTTAAGTTTATTGAAGTTTAAGTATTCTCTTGATCAGTGAAGGACGACCCTTATTTATTATCTAGAGGAATTGTATAATTTGCTGTTCGAAATTTTAGTATTGGGACATTGGTTAAGTGGGCTGTCGTATAGTATAGGGCCTTTGAAGATACATGTAGGAAAAAGTAGTCTCTATTCAAATAAAAGTTAATTTCTTTGAAGTTGGGGTTGTCTCTTTCATTTTGATACAGTAGAAATATAACTAGGCTTATTTAGTTTTGCCCATTCTGAGTTAATTCCCTAATATCTCCCCATTTTTTCTTTTCTTGTGCTTAAATGTATAATTCTATCTCTTTGATCTTTAAAAATCCTTGTTTTAGGAAAAACATATACTTGTAATCCCAGCACTTTGGAGGCAAAAACAGGAGGATCTACCTGGACTACTAAAGAGTGACCGCTCATATTAATTTTTGTTAATCCTGTGTTTTTTCATTCTTTTTAAATAAATGTTCAGTGTCAACATCATTGTAAAGGAAAGAAATAGGTAGTTGACATCATTGAACCCAAATCATAAATAGGAAGGCAACACTTCAATGACTTTAATATAAGGGGAGGGTGTTTGAGGAACCTTTTTCAAAAGTCGCTATGACTGCCCTGCTTTAATCTTCTCAAGGCATCAATAATAAAGTTCTGTTCTCTAAAATCTATGGGATGTGTGTCACATATCTTAATAACTTCAAGCTGGGCTACTCAGGAAGCTGAGATCTGAGGATCATGGTTCAAAGCAAGCCTGAGCAAGAAAATCTGAGATTTACCTCTAGTAAACTACCTGGTAGCTTTGAGCAAAACTAAATGCTCAGTAACAGTGTCCAGGCCTTGCGGCTTGCCCCAGGACTGGCAAGCAAAAACGGAAGGTTTTAAAAAGGGTGTCCTATAGATTTTTGGTTGTTAAAAACCAGATTATTAAAAACACTAGGAATTAGAAGAGGACATTAATATAGTGAGAAACAACAAGTATGGTTGGCCAATAGTGGCTCATGCCTGTAATTCTAGCTACTTGGGAGGCTGAGATCTGAGGATCATGGTTCAAAGCCAGCCCATGCAGGAAAGTCTGTGAGACTTACCTCCAGTTAACTACCAGAAAACTGGAAGTGCATCTGTAGCTCCAAGTAGAGTGCTAGCTTTGAGCAAAAGAGTTCAGGGAACAGTGCTTAGGCCCTGAGTTCAAGCTCCCATAACCCCCCCAAAAAATATGCAAAAGAAATATTTAATTGTTGGTAGAAGTGTGTAGCAGACATTTTGGGAGATGAAAGTGCTTCTAAAAGAAGTACCATGATTAAGCAATTTTGTTTATATTTACAAGAAGTACAGTATCCAATCCTAGCCACTCTGGAGGTGCAGATCTGAGGATCTCAGCGTAAGAAAAACTGCCCTCTTGACATTGATTCAGCAATGTTTATATAATCATGATTGTTTTTTAAACGCTGAGGGATGAAAAACTTGGACTTCGGTTTGTTTTTGGTTTTTGTCAGTCATGGGGCCTGAACTCGGCCTGGGCACTGTCCCCCAGCAGTTCAGCTCAAGGCAAGCGCTCTACCACTTCAGCCACAGCACCACTTCCAGCTTTTTTCTGCTTATATGGTGCTGAGGAATCGAACCCAGGGCCTCAAGCATGCAAGGCAAGCACTTTACTACTAGTGAGCCACCTTCCCAGTCCCCAAAAATTGTTTTAAAGGATAAATGCTGAGCTGTTGTCAAAACATAGCAACATTCAATATTTGCTTTAATATTGTTTTAGTCACTTGCTTTCAACCTAGGAAGGTTAGTAGACTTCCTGCACTTGTATATAAAACTCTTAATTTTCCATATTCAAGTCCTTAGGTAATCATTATTCATTGGTATATTCTTACAGATCTTTTATACACAATTTAAAAGTCACCACTAATTGTATACAAATGTTTAACACTTGAAAAGAGATGGCAGGTTTTCAGACTTTTAATGTCACCATGTAGTAATCGTAAAACGGGCTTGTTCAAAAATTGAACACAAACCAGGTGCCGGTGGCTCACACCTTTAATTGTAGCTACTCAGGAGGCTGAGGTCTGAGGATCAAGGTTCAAAGCCAACCTGGGCAGGTGAGACTCATCTCCAATAAGCCACTAGAAAACCGGAAGTGGCGCTGTGGCTCAAGCAGTAGAGTGCTCGCCTTGAGCTGAAGAGTGCAGGGACAGGGCCCAAGCCCAGAGTTCAAGCCCCACAACCAACCAAAAACAACAACAAAACAAGAAAAGATGTTGAAAATTATACTGAAAGAACAGCTTAGTGAATTAAATCACAAATTGTTAAAAGTGGGTTGACAGCATGGCTCAGATCATAAAGTACCAGCCAATGAACAAAAGCAAGAGTTACCAATTTTGAATTCTGATCTTGGGAAAAATTAAACAGTATTACAAAGAGTACTAATAAAACTAGAGGATTATGATGATAGAGTTTGAAATGTGTACACTTTCCCCTGTTATCAAATCCAGGAGTCAGTCATACATTCAATGTTGAGGTTTCCCTATTACAGATACTGCTGCTTTGTGTAAACACTTGTGATTCCTTGGATCAGTGTTGCCAGTTGAATAGCAGTGGTGAACTTGGTAAGTTGTCATGCCCTTGTGAAAATTAAGACTGTCTTGCTATCCCTTGAACTGAGCACATCTGGAGAGCAGCCACTACATTTTAAGGATGGAGTCTGCCTTGCTCTAGTCCCTTTAATACATACAGATGTGGGGAATGCGAAGTTAATGTTAATAGAATTTGTTACAAGATTAAAAATGAATTATAAAGGTAATGTACAGCTAGGCACCAGTTGCTCATTCCTATAATCCTAACTACTCAAAAGGCTGAGATCTTGGGGCTGGGAAGGTGGCTCAGTGGTAGAGGGCTTGCCTTGCATGCCTGAGGCCCTGGGTTCGATTCCTCAGCACCACATGAGCAAAAAGAAAAAAGCCGGAAGTAGCGCTGTGGCTCAAGTGGTAGAGCGCTAGCCTTGAGCTGAAGAGCTGAGAGACAGCGCCCAGGCCCAGAGTTCAGGCCCCACGACCAGACCCCCCAAAAAAAGGCTGAGATCTGAGGATCATGGTTTGAAGCCAGCCGTGGCAAAAAAGTCCCCGTGAGAGTCGTCTCCAGTTAGCTACTCAAAATCAAAGTGGCATTGGCTCAAGTGGTAGGCTCTTACCTTGAGCACAAAGAGGTTCAGGGGCAGGGGACTGTCCAGTGTCCAGGTCCACTGAGTTCAAGCCCCACAACTGACCAAAAAAAAAGATACACAGGGGTTACAGTTACATGCAACTGAGACTCATCTGAGTTCAAGCCCCACAACTGACCAAAAAAAAGATACACAGAGGGGTTACAGTTACATGCAACTGAGACTCGTCACCAATAAACCACTCACAAACGAAGTGGTACTGTGGCTCAAGTGGTAGGGTTCTAGCCTTGAGCAAAAAAGCTCAGGGATAGTGCCCAGGCCCTTAGTTCAAGCCCCCTAACCGACTAAAAAGAAATGGACAATGTCGCCCCTTACCTTGCTCTTAACAAGTTTCATAAGAGATTTTAAAACTTCATAGAGTTAATGGTAATTGTGGGGGGAAAAAATAAGTATACTGCCAGACATGGGGGCTTACATGTATAATCTGTAGTTCTTGGAAGGCAGAGGTACTCTGTTGGAGGGCACCCAGGTAAAAAGTTGAGACTTCATTTCAACCAACACACCAGATTTGGAGTGATGCACCCTGTAGGAAACCCTAGGTTGAATTTCATTCAGATGACAGCCCTAAATGAAAGCAAGATCCTATCTGAAAAGTAAAGCCCTCCCCCCCACCCCAAAAAAGTTGATAGCTCAAGTTGTAGAGCTCCTGTTTCACAAGTGCAAGGCCGAGTTCAAACTGAAAATCACACACACAACACACAAAGCACTGAGTTTTGAATTTGCTGGCAGACATTACTGCTGAACCATAACTACTTCACTTAGTGTGTGTGTCTATGACAGGCAGTTGCTGGGGTTTCAACTAGAGAGCCTGGGCACTGACAGTTTTATTTTTGCTCAAAATGGGCGTTTTGCCACTTGACTAACAGGTCTACTTCCAGCTTTTTGCTGGTTAATTGGAGATAAGAGTCTTAATGGACTTTTCTGCCTGGCCTGGGCTAGCCTCAAACTTTGATCCTTGGATCACAGTCTCCTGATTAGGATTACTGGAATGAGCCACCAGCACCCAGCTCTTTTCACTTTTATCATCCAGTCACCTATTCTCAGCGGGGGAAGAATTCTAGGGCTCATTTTAAACTAATCTAGCTCTTCAAGACAGAATAAGCTCTGAAAAGGAGACAAGAATAAATTTATAAATTCTGATTTTCTCCATAATGACTTTGCTCATTAAAGTGGTAAAAGGTTTATAGAAAAAAATATTTGCATAGCTCCAAAGTAACAGGGCCAGATTAAAGTTTTGGGTTTTTTTTTTATTTTTGTTTTTGTTTTTGTTTTGGTGCCAGTCCTGGGCTTGAACTCATGGCCTGGGCACTGTCCCTCAGCTTTTCTGCTCAAGGCTAATATTCTACCATTTGAGCCACAGTTGTACTTCTGGTTTTTTGGTGGTTAATTGGACATAAGAGTCTCATGGACTTTTCTTCCTGTTTGGCTTTGAACTTTGATCCTTAGGTCCCAGTCTCCTGAATATCTAGGATTACAGGTGTGAGTCACCACTGCCCAGCAACAGTTTTTGTTGTTGTTGTTGTTTTGTTGTTTTTTTTGTCAGTTGTGGGCCTTAACTCTGGGCCTGCGTGCTGTCCTTCAACATTTCAGCTCAAGGCTAGCACTCTACCACTTGAGCCAAGCACCACTTCTGGCTTTTTCTGATTATGTGGTGCTGAGGAATTGAACCCAGGGCTTCATGCATACAAGGCAAGTACTCTACCACTGA